ATATTTCTTCGTATTCTGTTTTTTTTAAAAGTACTTAATATTATAAATGTTATATTACTGTTTTACTTTAACAAAAACAGCCATTGTCCACCTGAGAGAGAAATGCATCATGGGACAAACTCGTCAGACCCAGTGGTCAATCACTCACAGCCTTCTGTCAAATAAAAAATAAGTTTATTTTAGAAATGATTATTGGCTGTAGTCAGTCACAGTGGAATTTGCTTCTCTAACTTTGGCAGCTTTGACTTCTTTGAGTTGATTTTCTTCTTCCTACTGGGTTCATTTTCCACTGGGGATTATTTTTTACCCAGAAGCCTCACACTCTTTCTTTGATTTTTTTTTTAACGTCCCTGGTTCATTCAGTTAATTCATTTTACCTTGAAATGACCTGCCATCATGTCAATGAAGTCAAGAGTGTAACGCACAATACAGAAACCACTTGTCGCCTGTGTTTTTGTAGAGTGCCTCTCTGCTGCCCCCTGCTGACCATGCAGAGTGCCTGCACGGTGTTGGTGGCACTCGCCGCCGCCGCTGCTTTCATCAGGGCAGACCCGGAGTCACACAGAGCAAGACATGACTCCAACCTGGAGATCTGTATCCTTCTGCTGCCGAGTGTGTGTGTGTGTGAGAGTGTGTGTGATCAATGCCCATGTGGAGAGAGAGTGTGTGACCTCCTGACCTCCTGGCTCCAGACAAGCGTCTGTTTGAGACCAAACGGAAGGATCAACTGAACGCCCTGAAAAACCTGGTGGAGCTGAACGACATCAACCAGCAGTACAAGATCATAGACATCATGCTCAAGGGACTCTTCAAGGTAAGCTGACACCACGCTGCCTGTTCACAGCCTCTTAGTGCCGCATTTAAAGTCAGGCACGTGAAGCTGAGAGCTCCCCCTTCCTGTGAGAGAGAGAGGGAGGGGGGATGTTTTCATCTGCAACAACTGAGAATCAAAGACGTTAAAACCTGCTGATTGTGTTCATCAGCAGGTTTTAGTCGCATACATTTGAATGTTTAATCGCTCACATTAGGCCCAGGCCTCTCAGTTCCCCTGAGCACAGTCATCTCTGCACCTCGGTGCCTCTCAAGGACGGCGAACGCAGTCAACGCTCAGTCGCCGGAGTTCACCGTCAGCATTTATTTTGTTAGACTCTGTGCACCTGAGACGTTCTTTATACCTGCTCCGATCTCACTCAGTGTCAGCGTGAATCTGTCCCAGATAGGGAAGATGAAAAAAAAAATAGCTGAAATGATTTCTCTCAGATTTCACAGACCTGTAGCTACAACGACTGTGTTTGGAACAAGTGATGCAATGGTCGGCAAGACCTCCGACAAGTGACCTGTTTAACCGCCATAGTCCTGACCTACTGTTGAGAGAAAAAAAGGTCATGATCCTCCCTTTGAAAATGTATGTTGTTCAACTTTTTTGTGCAGCGCCCTCTTCTTGTAGACTGTTCTCCAGCCCCCCCTGCTGTTTCACCCAAGCAGAGGTTGATTAAAATGTAATTTCATACATTTTTATGATTCAGTTACTAATTAATTTGTGATTGATTAATTCAGTTAAAAGTAGAGACCTAATCATTTATATCTATTTGTTATTCATGTGATTAGATTTTCTCTGTATTTCAAATGAAAAATTTGAGTCTCAGCCTCATTTCACCGTCACTGCATCACTTTTCACATCAGAAATAACTGTAGAAAATAAAATTTAAAACACATCGACGTGTCTCTCTCCGTCTAAGGTGTTGGAGGACTCCAGACAAGTCCTGGTTGCGGCGAACATGCGGCCGGACGATCCCTTCCCCATGGATGATAAGATCAAAGAAGGTGGGATTCATGGTTTTTTTTTTGTCTCTATTTCATCATTTTATTATTTGTTTTTGTTTTTTTGTGTCTCCATTTCATCATTTTATTATTTGTTATTTTTTTTGTCGAGGCTTCTTTTCTTCTGCTGCCCTTTGTTTTTATATCTTAATCATGAATATGCGTATTTTTTTATTTTATTTCAAAGTTCATGAATTGGGCCGAATTGAACCCCCTTGCGGGCCCACTTTGGCCTACGGGCCACATGTTTGGTACCCCCATCCTAAACGATGTCAATAATGCCAGTCTGTAGTTTGGTGAAGGGAAAAGTGTTGTAAATTTGCCTTCTCTAAGTGAATGTGTTTCAGAGATCTAACTCTAAAATATCGTCCACAAATTCCAAAGGTTAAAGGTCATGACCTAAACCCCTCTCTCTCTCTCTCTCTCTCTCCGTCCTCCTGCAGCGTATTCCCACGTGGTGGAAAACACCGCCTTCTTTGGGGACGTGGCGCTGCGGTTTCCCCGTATCGTCCACCATTACTACGATCGCAACTCTGACTGGGGCGGGCTGCTGCGGTGGGGGCTGAATTTCTGTAACCAGACGGGAGTTTTCACCGGGGGAGCTCACCAACACGTCCTCACCCTGGTAAGATCAGACGACGAGCCAGTGGTTAACTCAGCTGCGTTGTTGTGGTTTTCTGTGCAATTACACAGACTAGACACTACAGTTTAGACTTTTTTTTTTTTTTAGCAAATGAAACCATTAAACTGTTTTCAAGTGCAGTTACATTACAAAAAAACAACTAATATTCCTTGGGGATTTTTTTTATTTTCACACAAAATGTCATTTTTAATGACTGCTGCAGCTGCACAGTTAATTCTACCCTCTGGATAAAATCCATCCTGTGAGCATATATTTGCATATATTCAGGGTGTCTCATTAGAACACACAGCAAACTTCAGCTTAATGAGTAAAAAAAAAAAAATCCAAAATATGTCTTGAAAAAATAATTTAAAACAGCATAATTGCTTTAGTCCAAAGATAGCAACGAGCGCTGACAGCGGTCAGAGTTCTTTAAGATCTCCTGGTCTCCACCAGAACTCTCACGAAAAGTTGATGACGTGTTGAATTAGTGAAGTGACTTCCTTCCTGCAGAGTTCCATCTGTCACCACAGACCAAACACCTACGGTGGATGAAGTCTGGGGTTTGAGTCCGAAGCAGATGAAGAGCACGGACCAGTCCTGACGTGTTTCAGTTAACGCTCGCTGCGCTCATTTTAACGTCAACAACAGAAGGGTTCCCGCCTCTTACAGCGGGGCCGTTAATGCTAACCGTTAATGCTAACCGTTAATGCTAACAGCTAAAAGTGTCACACACACACACACACACACTCTCTCCAAGGTTAATTAGTGTCTTTCGTCTGCGATCTCTGCTGCTGAAGTCGGCTTTATTATGAAGTGAAGTATTGAAGTAATTATATCCACTGAGATTTTTGAATTTCCAGAACCTTCAGTCGATGCTCCTGGCCGACTGAAGTGAAGTATTGAAGTAATTATTTCCACTGAGATTTTTAAATTTCCAGAACCTTCAGTCGATGCTCCTTTAATAATTATGATCAGTTTCTCCAGTCAAAACCACTAAGGTTTAAAAACATCAACTTTTGGTGGAAACAGTTTTTTTTTTTTTGAATTATTTAAAGAGCTGTGGTTCCCTCCTGCTCCACTGCATCACGTTGCCTTTTATCAGCCGTGGACTGAGTGATGTGACAGTGTGTGAAGTGATCATGTTGCCCCCGTCCCCCCTCTCCTCTCTCCCTTCTCCCCTCTTCTCTTATCTCCTGTCGTCTGTCTGCTTCGCTCCTCACCAGATGTCACAGGAGCTCGGAATAACGGAGAAGTCCGCAGACTTCATGAACCCGTACCGCACGGAGAGAGACGACGTGAGTACGATGCAGTCACGCTGCCTCCCACTCTGCCTTTCTCTCTGCATCACCATCACAGAACACACTGACGTCCCGACACTTTCTCATGCGTTCCAGGTGCTTCACACGGCCGAGGCCTTCCAGAAGATCCTCAGAGAGGAGGAGAAGAGGAGGAGGAAGGAGGAGAAGAGGAAAGAAATCAGGAAGGGCCCTCGCATCTCACGATCACGCACCGAGCTATAGCACGGTACCGCTGTGCTTCTGCAGAGGAGAAAGATGTTGAGGAGGGGAAGGAGTAAGGACGAGGAGGAGGAGGAGGACAAGGAGGAGGAAGGAGCAAACACATCTGTCCACAAGGGCTGGCTTGACTTGTAGACTCAGATGACAGTGAGACGGGGAGAGATACTGCCATCACTGGTCCAAAAAGCCTGGTGCTCTTATGAAAAGGAGAGAGGGTTTGACCATGTGACACAACCGCTAAAACACAGGAGGTTGTGGGTTTGACAAAATCCTCAGTTTTTCTTCTCTCGTACTGATTGGTTATTGGTTAATCTGACATACAAAAAAAAAGGGAAAACTCACCTTTTGATAATTTGATAAATATCTTGCAGTACTTTGGAGTATTAAGAAATTTCAATATTTGTGCTAAAGGAATTACCTCGTGTTGTTTAGACCTAACGTGACCCAAATCCCATAATACGTGTGAGGGCCCAGCAAAAGTACATCTGGACCTCAGCAGAACCTCATCTCTGTTAAATGTGACCTGTTTTATAAAACAGCATAAATAAATAAATTATGGATTTTTTTTTTATTATTTCAGCAATTTAAGGGACGTTTTGTGATTTTTACTCTTCTCATTGCTGCTGCGGATGACAAGGATGCCTCTAGGTCTAACCTTTGGTACCGTTTTTCCTGTCATCACAGATATTTTATTGTGGGTACAATTTGTCATCTCTTTTTCAAACCAGTCTCTAAAGTTCGAATTCCTGCTTTCTGGAATTATACGGTCCCTGTGGAAAGCTGTGTCAGCCATCAGTAACAGTATGTGACCCGTCTTGTTGCGCTGCACCTGTTTCTATGTTAAATGTTTGGCTTTTCTGTCCTTTCTTTCCTTTCATTCCCGGAGGAATTTAATATAAAAATAATATTACGACTGTTATTAAAACTATATGTATATTCAGAGAAGGGAAGAGGACATCGTTGCTGCAGAATCAACAAGCCATTTTCTTATAAGATTTAATGAAATAAAGCAACTCTGGCGTGACCATGCTCTCAGTGTGTGAGTGATTGTTGGGTTAGATCAGCCGCCAGAGGGCAGCATTTCTCCAGAAAGATTTTGAAACCGAGTCCAATTTTTTTTCGGTTTTTAAAAACCGATAGCGTTATGGGGAGATAGGCTCGTGCGGCTTGGGGAGATAGTTATGGGGAGATAGGCTCGTGCGGCTTCTTTAGCTGTGTTGTTGTTGACAACTAAAGATTGTAGAGGGTTTTTTAACCGTCTTGCTGAACCTAAACCCACGGATACAGTATGTCTAATGGCGAGGACTCGGCGGGTAAGACTACTGTATGTTTTTATGTGACCCTTGCTCTTTGTTTTCACAACTTAGCATCAAGTGCTAACATTAGCTTAATAAGCAGTTTGTAATGTCAATGTTTACGTTTCTATCGTTAGCTAACATGAGATAGTGGATCGCTGGGATTTCAGATCTTCATTACTACATTCGTATATGTCGTGTACAGTATACATGTGTATTAGTATAAACATATATAGAATTTTCAGTCAACATGAAGTTCGAAAGTCTATCGAAAAGTCTAGAAAACTACATTGCGTTCAGTATTGAAATTATTTCACAAAACGTAAACTGTATCAATGTTAAATTATTAGAACAGACCAGTTTATAATCCAAAACAATCTTGTGTATTAACTTGATTATTAATTACTTAATGGGAAATTCCCCCCTTTCAGTGTGAAACGGCACGTTCTTTCTAAAATCCTTTAAAAAATCCATAATGTGAAGATATTCTGTATTATAATTACACTTATAGTCACATTAAATTTCTTCAGGGTTTCTGTGACTTATTCCCACAGGACGTGAGGAGGAGCTAGTTCTTCCTCTCGATGTGATTCCTCTTCAATGGCCCAACTGTGACGCCATGTGGAGTGAGGAACTCAGGCTGGTCCTCATCGGGAAAACTGGATCGGGCAAGAGTGCGTCTGGAAACACCATCCTGGGCAGAAGGCACTTCCTGTCACAGCTCAGTGCCAGTTCTGTCACGGAGGTGTGTGAGGTTGGGAGCAGGGAGCTCGCTGCAGAGGAGGCTGTCACGCACAGCAGGATGAAGAGAGTCACGGTGGTGGACATGCCAGGTTTTGGGGACACTCGGCTCAGTGCAGAGCAGATTCATGCAGAGGTTGCCAAATGTGTGGCTCTCTGTGCTCCTGGTCCACATGCGTTCCTCCTGGTGGTGCCACTGGGACGATATACAGAGAGTGAAAACCAGGCAGTTTGTGAAATGACACAAATATTTGGAGAGGCTGCAGTTCGCGACCACACAGTGATTCTTTTTACCAGAGGTGATGACCTGGGTAGTGTAGATATAGAAGAGTACCTGACCAAGACTGCACCTGCTGAGCTCAAGGCTCTGATTGACAGGTGCGGGAGCAGGTACCATGTCTTGAACAACAGGGAAACCAGTAACACAGTGCAAGTTAAAGAACTTCTAATGAAGATTGACAGGATGGTGCAGCAGACGGACACAGGGTTTTATACCAATGCTTTGTTTTTAGAGGCTGAGGCTGCCATCAGGGAGGAGCAGAGAAGTATGATGAGAGAGCGAGAAGAAAGGGATGGAGAAGATGAGGTGGGAAATAGTAACAGCATGGAGGAAGAGGCCCATATTCTAAAATGGAGAAAGTGTGACAGAGGGTTCAAAAGAAAAAGAGGCAGTGGAAGTGGACCACCGAGACTCTGCAGGAGTGAGGTGGAGAGAGGAAGCGATGAGGATTTTAGAGTGGAAAGGGGGAAAAGACGCTCTCTTTTTAGTGTCGTCCGGGACAGAGTTAGGACCACATTATTTGGCAGCACCAGCACAGCAGTGGACAGACGATGTTTGCACTGTTCATGCATGGTTCAGACCAGAACAAGGGCAGCGCTCTCCCCTCGTGTACTACAGAGAGTTAAGACCCTGGTAGCTGCTGGAGCTACAGGCCTGGCGGTCGGAGCAATGTTCGGAGCAGCCGTTCCATTAGCAGCTGCAGCTGGGGCATCTTTGGTGGGAAATTCAGTGGGTTTTGCTGCAGGTCAACTGGCTGGAATGTCTGTAACAGGAGGGGCAGGCGTGGGGAAAGCTGTCGGGGCTATAGTGGCAGCAGCATCAGGAAAAACTGCACTGGCCCTGGGAGCAGCAACAGGTGGGGTAATTGGTGGTTCGGCTGGAGCCCTTATTGGCACAACAGCTGCTAGTCCAATGGAAGGTGCGCTAGACACCCTTGGGCAGGTCAGCACCATCGGGGTCACTGCTGTTGGCGTAGCGACAGGAGTAGGTGCGAGCCTGGGAGCTGGTGCTGCTTTAAGTACAGTTTTTCAGGGAGCAGGTATTGTGGGACCTGCAGGTGTTGCATTAGAGACAGCTGCAGCAGAGGCTGCTAACATCCCAGTAGTAGCCACTAACGTTCCAGCAGTAGCCGCTAACGTCCCTGGAGTAGTCGCTAACGTTCCAGTAATAGCCGCTAACGGCCCAGCAATAGCC